TAGGAAAGAACGACAAAAACAGATATTTCAGAACCCTTCCTAGATATGAGAGTAGGGTCCAGTGTTCAATAGCCCATACACTATACCGTCAGGTCAGTGAAGAACATATTGATTAGTAACCAACCTATCGTGGACGTGGACTGACTTGGAAAGACCAATTACTGTGACTAGTCAAGTGGAACAACTTGTAATATACGGAGGCTTAAAATATCCTCGTAAAATTTTCATATCGAAACAGTTACAGTGGCTTATTAACGATGTTTACCTCGATAAAATCGCCCCTAAATTCTTTGGACGAAATATATGAGTTTTAGGAGAATATTGGGCTTTATAGTGGACGTTGAAAGAGGAAAGTGGTTACCTTAAAACTGTAAATAAATTGAATTACAAGCTAGCTATAAGCCCCTAGTTTAACTTGAAACTAGTCCGGTTACCTTGAACAAAATACCTACGTTAAGTTCAAACGAGAATAATTTGACCATTCTGTTGCGTACTTCTTTTCTTGTTTGGTTTGGTACTATGAGGACAAGGTTGGTAAAATTATCGAGCAGTGGCATCTGCAGGAAACTGCGTCTCAACGCCAGTTAGGTATGTTAAAGACATCGGTTTTCTTCACACGAATAAATTGTAATTTGTAGAGGTGTACAAAACATAAAAATTGTTGAGGATAGTCCTTTCTGTCCATTAGAGTAGTAACATTGAAAAGTACTTACAGGCACTTAGGTATTATTACCCCTAATACAATATGTGACCTGTCGATACTTACAGTACTTATTCTAGACACGTTACGAACACACGTGACTACGACACTGATTCACCAGCCAAAGGTTTATATACAAGGAGAAAAATAATATAAACGTACATTTATACCTCGCTGTACCTAAAACACCAGGGAATTGCCGTATAAATCTCTAAAGTTGACTTGATTTATCTTAATGCCAGACGCGAGCTAATATTTTTAAATCACTGCTCTAGTTGGCATGGTATTGCTGCAAAAAGTGCTTTTTATTTTAGTATATTTTGTGTTGAACTTATCTTAGACGAATGTCAAGTTATTTTGAAGATGAAAATCACGAACGCTAATGTGATAATTTTTAGTATTGAAAGAGTAAACGTATGGCGAATATCTACATGCTACATAAGTACACATACAAAAATATCGTTATCAAAATATCTCATGCTACCACATTAGAAATCTCTTTGCGAACTTTCGCTCCACTGGCCTCACTCACCTACTTCAGACGTTTTCATTACGTAAAATAAACATGAGCATAACACATTTCAGTTTCTGACGTCACTGACGAACATTGGCCGTCGTCTCGCCGGGGTCGCGGACAAGGAGCGTCGTAATGGCCGTCTCAGGGCCGAACTAGCGACGCTAGACCTCAACCTCCCTGCTCGGGTGTGGTTACCTTTACACCAGAGGCCGCACTATGTGCTCAGGATACCACCGCATGCTGCTGCCGTCCTGAACAGCAAAGATAAGGTGAGTTTTGTACTATTTTATTATAATCGACGTCCCTTTCTTCATCAACTATTCCTGATTCCAATTTGAAGTTTGCGTTCTAATCTCGTATGAATTGGTAAATTAAAACATGTTTAGCAATATTATTTCACCCCTACCTATGAGTAGTCTCTCAGTTAAAATGAATGAACAGACTGTAACTCCGCCAAGCGCAAAATTTGTTGAGTGCTAAATCTAGACTTGAATTAAGCGCCTTACTCGTCTGGCAAAAGACTGCGATAAGTACTTAATCTCAAAGTCGGATCTTAAAAGTCGTTGGCTGTTTGCGAGTTAAAAACTAAAACGGATTATGCTTAAAGACTCTATTCCTTTGTAGATCATGTTATGTATTGTATTAAATAAAAACGAAGGTCGTTTACCTTCGGTTGTGTTGGATATCATGCACGATACCCACTACCCCGATTGAATTCTTGCAATAATGAGAAGGTTGCGCAGTGCGCTTGCGTTGCCAATCAACGTAAATCGTATTAACATTGAGTACAAACTGCTAATGTTGCTTGCAGTACGTTTCACGCATACAAACTCATTTTAATTTCTGTTGTTTACATAAAAATGCCATTTTAAAATCGGTCAACAATCTGAAATTAGTGTAATTCCGTAAAATATATCTGTCGGTGCCCATACTGTTGTAACTTTGGAAGTTCTTTTTTTTGAATACTTAAAAGACTAATAACGGATTTTCTTTGATGCCCGTCCTAGCACTTATTTTATCCTAGCACTCGATTCCATTAAGCTTTAGCCTTTTTGAAACTCAATTCCAATTCAGTCGGACTTTTATTACGATCCGAGGGACTTTCCAACGCAATTTAAATGTTTATGACAATTTGCTTCAAAGGGATAAATGAACGAAGCTTGAAACCATGTTTTTACCTTTACATTCAAATAAATTAATTTCTATATCGAGTCTTCTAAAGCCTAGGATTTATGAGCTATTAATCTGATTTATCTTTACAACTGAAGTAATATATTCTTGTCACATTGTAAGGCATTGTATGTTTTCTTTTGCGATATACATGTTATTATACTTAACTAATCTACCGACGATTACCGTTAAAATGTTTAGTTTACTCTGTATTTTCGATAATCGTGATAAAGCATGTGACGTAGTCCGCGTAGTGACATTATCAGCGTTTGTTGTAGACAATCGTACGCCCATGGAAACAATATAACATTGATACTGATAACTCTTATGTCGTAACATTAGACGCCATTTTTGTACTTCAATAGCCCGGTATATACGCACGTAAGATCTTTTTGACACCATTTCAATGGTGGTTTGTCATCGTGAGTCATGGTTCTACCTACCCATAGGTAGTAATTATGACGTCTTTAAATTAGTGGAATACTGCTGTACTTAATAAAAAGGAAAAGGAAGTCATTCGAAGATCTGTTATTTATCTTGATACAGTTCTAAAACTCATGATAGGTATTGTAAAGAAGACTTTATTTGTATTGTAACTTTCGTGAGACATACTTAATAAATTATTATGTTTTCGGCTTACCCACGTAATAATTTGACGACACTGCAGTAGCAGCGCGACAGTCGTCGCGTCGCGGGTCGCTAAATGCTGCTCATGAATATGAGCCTCTAGCATGGCTTGAAACTAGTCGAGTTCCTCGTCAAATTATTACGTAAGTAAGCCGAAAACATAATAAAATATCGACTTTATTTACAAAACTATGAAGTAGAAAATCTATGAAAGTAAATCTGATGTACGGCTTGGGCAGAAATCTTACTTTGCAATCGTAAGAATATCAACCGTCTACCGGTTTTTATGTACTCATTTAGTAAGATATTGGACAAATAACAGTTTAATGGATAGTCTAATTACTCGCGATTTCATACAAGGACGTTCCCACGGACTACTTTTGTTTGAAAAGTGTGTGTAGACTATACATTAAAGTCTTTAGTAAACTCACCTTGAGGTAACGTATCCACAGAAAATCAACGTTCAAAGTTTACACTCAAAGGGTGGCCTTAATACAGCCAAGGTAAGTTTAATGGCAATTTCCTCATAGGATTTCCCTTCACCATTTATTTAAGAACTTAAGAAGTACCAAACATTCGAATTACAATTGTGTAATATAAAGTCGTAAAGTTTTCTAAATTCTGCTTTTATTACTCACATTGTAGTTAGTATAGTTATTATGAATACACAATTATACCTTTCGGAATAATTGTGGTTTATTTTTTCATAATATGAGGCTCGTTCTTGGTAGGCACGGTAATTTTAATGTGCCTATGTTTATATTTTGTGAAAATATATTGTACATTGTGTTAATTTAATATTATAAATAGGTACTTGATTTTCTTAGGTTTCTTAATTAGAACTTCGCAGTATTTTGTTCACATATCTACCTTAATTTTTAAACCTCACCATGATAAGAATCAAGTAATCCATCAATGGAAATAACACAAACCTACAAAGTACATGGTGTATCTAAAACATTGACAATATAATGGAGCATAGACCACATATATCAGCATATCTCAAAACTATTACCATACAATGTTCCACTCCACTGATAAAACCATTCCTCTATTCAATCAAACTGATAACTTCTAAGATAAAAGCTATATCAATTGTATTACAATAAGTAACGTAATAAATTCCGATATAATATAACTAGCTGTGTGCCTATAATTGCCAATTAAGAACAATATTTATTATTATACAGCGACGCGACAAAATTATTTAGTTGTTGTTTTTTTATGGCATAAGCCGGTACACGAGCAGACGGATCACCTGATGGTAAGCAATCGGCGTCGTCCATGGACACCTGAAACACCAGAGGCGTTACAAGTGCGTTACCGGCTTGGGAATTTGAGGACTGTTGGAGATTCAGGGGCGACGAAACACAACGCAAGCGTTATTTCACGTTAGTCTTCTGTGAGGCCATGGTATCACTCCGTTCGAGCCGGCCCATTCGTGCCGAAGCATCTCCAACACTTTTTTGTTTATTTTAAAAGTAAATAATCTATTCAATTATGCAGAATATGAAACTGCTAGGGAAAACCGCAACACGATAGCTTATCCAACAATTATTTCGAAAGATAAGATTAACTTATAATTGAACAATCAAACTAGCTTACCTGTAAGCGCCGTTCGATTGAGATTATTCCTGTTGTCTCGTCCGAAGATGATGAAAGTTACTAAGGTAGTATATTTCCATGTTACCTGAGGGCGTCACATAAAGTTTAAATCCTCAAAAATAAAAAATATCCGAACGCTCCCATTTCCAGTTCACCGTTCTATTATCTGTGGACTTCATTTAGTTATCAGCAAAAAAAAAATATCTGATTGTCACAACCAAATATGGGGTTATAAGGGTGGGCGGGACTCATCATCTTCGGACGAGACAACAGGAATAATCTCAATCGAACGGCGCTTACAGGTAAGCTAGTTTGATTGTTCAATTATTCCATTGTCTCGTCCGAAGATGATGAAAGTTACTAAGGTAGATGTTCAAAGACTGTTGTACAATCAGATCTTTTTAATAATTTTCTGTTAAGTTATAAGTACTACTTAACTTAATGGACAATATTATTTACTTAATAATTAATCCCTGTTCAAGAGCGAAGAATTGCTTCTGTAAAGCTTTCACTGCGTATAGGTCTGTTATAGAACCTAGCAAAGCAAGTTGAGCTGTCAGTCCAGCCAGCCGTTCTTCGGATCTCATCAATAGAGACACCCCTCTGAAGTGCTGCAGAGGTAGACGCATGTCGGGTACTGTGTGCAGAGAATGTGTTAATATTTATACCGCTTTCCTGCAACATAGACTTTATCCAACGGCTGATTGAACTGACAGTTACAGGTTTATAAGGTTTTTTAAATGATAAGAATAGGTTTTTAAAATCACCTCTAATATTTTTAGTTATATTCAAATAATCAATGACAGCCTTAGCCGGACAGACATGTGGTCGGTCTGTGAAAAATGGTAACTTAATAAAAGGTTGCATCCTATTAGGTGCAGATGTTTTAAGAATCTTATCTACTTGTATGAACACAAAATCAGTCTCAATTTTAATATTATCTATATCAATGGCACATATTGTTTGGGCCCTATGGCCTGTAGCTAAAACTAAAAGAGTTACAGCCTTTTTTGAACACAATTCTAAATTATCACAAGTTGTATATTTATTTTCCATGTAATTTAATACTTTAGACACATCCCATGTGTAATCATATTTAGGCTGACTTGGCCTTAACTTAAAGAATCCTCTAAACAGTCTTTTAATATTGCAATCTGTGCCAACATGAGAGCCTAAAAATAGTGACAGGGCAGACCGGGTAGAATTCAAACTACCATATGACAAACCATCTCTAAATTTACTAGTTAGGTAAGATATAATTTCTGGTATACTAGGTTTTAATGTACTTAGCTGATTTGCATAGCAATATGTTATCCAATCCTTTATATAAGGGGAATATTGCTTCAGAGTATTATTAGATATTGAATTGAGCATTATGTCTGTAGCTTCTTGTTCTAAACCTGCTTCTAGAAAGCTGCGCCGCAGAGCTGTCCTACCATCAATGTTAGGCTCCCATGTAGTGGATGAAATGACCTGGAATTACATAACTTCAGTAAACTCTTGTTTGGTTTATATAATAATGGCTTACTACTTAAGAGTTTTTGAAAAATAGGGTACCATGGTTGTGTAGGCCAATCTGGTACTACCATGATACCTTTGGCTTTATCCACTATAATTTTTTCAATAGTTTTAGAAATCATTGAAAACGGGGGAAAAGCATAAAAATACATTTTTGACCAAGAAAATGTAAATGCATCAACTTTAAATGCATCAGGATCAGGATGCCAAGACACATATTTTTCGCATTTTGTATTTGTGCGTGAAGCAAACAAATCTATATCGGGGTTTCCAAAAGTGTTAACTATTATTTTAAAATATTTGTTACCAAGTTCCCATTCTGTATGACCTATTTTCTTTCGGGACTCAAAATCTGCAATTAAGTTATTCTTAGTATTTATGTAAGAGGCATAAATCCAGATGTTTTTCGATTCACACCACTGCCATATATATTTTGAAATATTGTGCAAATGTTGGTGTTGGATTCCACCTAAACGATTTATATATGATATCGCAGTGGTGTTGTCAATTCTCAATAGTATTTCACAATCATGCTTGTCTTTAGCAAAGCATTTTAAACCTAAGAATGCTGCATGAAGTTCTAGCATGTTAATATGGAGCTTTGCCTCTTCTTGTGTCCATGGGCCACTAGCAGTTTTGTTATTGCATCTTGCACCCCATCCTGTAAGCGACGCGTCAGTTTCGATTTCTAAAACAAATTTATTTTTCCTTATAGGACACATAGCTGTTTTTATATTAGTAAGCCACCATGCTATATCTTCTTGGCAACTATTAGGTAATGTTATGATGCTTTCAAAATTATCATTACTTGACAAAAGTGATAAATATTTAATTCTTTCTAAATGTTTGGTATATAACATGCCATATCTAATGGCAGGACAAACAGAAACTAGTGTTCCTAAAACTTGAGCTAAAAACCTAATTGAAATTTTATGTTTAAGTTTTGAAAGTAACTCTACACATCTCTGTCTTTTTTCCTGGTCAATTGAAATTATCATATATTCACTGTTGAAAATAAACCCCAAGAATTTGCATTCTGTTTTAGGTATAATATTACATTTTTTATAATTTACTAAAAAACCCAGGTTTTCAAAAAGATTAAGAATGTAATTTACTTGATTTTTGCATTCTGAATATGATTTTGCAATGATGCAGGTATCATCAAGGTATTGTACCACTCTTATTCCTCTTTTTCTTATTACAGAGAGTATGGGTTTGAAAATTTTTGTAAACAGTAAAGGTGCTGTACAGAGACCAAATGGTAGGACTGTAAACTGGTATAATTTGCCATCAAAATAAAATCTGAGGTATTTTCTGTATTTAAGCTCTATGTTTATCATGTAATAAGCATTTTTTAAATCTATTGTTGCCATATAATCATTTTTCTGTAATAACTTGCAAACTGTACGGTAATCTTCTAATTTGAAATGTTCAGGTAGCATAAATTGATTTAGTTTTTTAAGGTTTAAAATAAAACGGTATTCTCCATTTGGTTTCTGTACTAAAAATATGGATGAGCAAAACTGGTCCTGTGTTGGTATACAACTTTCAACAGCCTTAATTCTAAGTAATTCATCAATTTCCTTTTTAATAAGAATTGTCTCAGATTGAGAAAATTTATTATTAAGTGGGGTATCTTTTTGACAAGGAGTTTTGATGAAATTAAGTGAATATCCAGACACCCAATTAAGAATTACAGGGTCATCTGTAATTGTTTCCCATATTCCTTTAAAATAAGGTAATCTGCCTACCTCTAGGTGTAGGTTCATTTGCGTGGATGGTAACTCCGTTCGTGCTGGTGTCGGGGTGGCGGCGGTGGTCGTCGCGTTTTCTTTTGAGAGTAAGGTTTCTTCCCTCCTCCACTCTGGTGGTTCTCGGTCTTCGTCTTGTTGAACCCCAAGCGCCTGTATCCTGGTTGAGGAGGGACCCGCGAGTTTAAAGGACGTTGATTACGGTTGGTGTTGTTTTGTTTAACAACAGCTGGTGTAGTGCCCAGATCCTGAGCAGACCTTTGGACTGCTTTGGCCACCTTGATTCTTTCAGTGAGGTCTTCACCGAAGAGGAATGCATCAGGGCTACCCTGTAAGGACTCCTTTAACTCCTTGTTAATGACATTTGCAATAAGAGCTCTTCTGCTCTGAGTCTCACTATGCAATAGGTCACATAAAATCTTCGCAGCATCATTGAATCTTTTTATTCCCTCAACTTTATTATAAAACATAAAGCTCTCTAAGCCACAACCAACGGCAGCTAGGGCAGCAGCTACATTTTTCTGTCTATACTCTATAATCATATCTCTTTTCTTTACGGGCTCCGATACGGCAGCTGACAACTCTGGATTCAATTTTGGAGGTACCATTGCAGGTATGTTATGAAAAGGGGCATATTCTTTTAGCAACATAGCCTTGTCTTCTTTTTTCAGACCTTTACTTAGAATAGGTGTCCAGCGCTGCACAATCTCATTGTGAGCTGAAGGGCCACTTACAGGCCCCTCCTCGACAGCGCCCATGGCAGAAATAATATCAGTGTCAATTTCCATAAGTCCAGTCTCTTGCTGCTGTCCATTCTCCTCTGTCTCATTTGGTACTGTCTCAGGGGCTTCATCTACCAACACTTGAGAAATTTCTATGTTTTGGATATTTGAAGGTTGTTGTATTGCACTATGAGACGGGGTGTGGCATTGTACACTTGGTGAGCGAGTCCTTGGTGACGGGTGTCGCGATCGGGATCGGGACCTTGATGACCGGCTTCGTGAAGGCCCTGTATCCAGAACAATGTCGGATATTACACTTTTGCCTTGTTGTCCGATACTTTTACAGTATAGCAACAACAGGAAAAATAAATTGGCTACATTGCAAGATCCCTCAATACGCATTGGGTTACGTCGTTCGATACTCTGACAGTATAGCAACAACACCTAGCACGTGGGGCTCGCGTGTAAACATTTCTAAGGTTGTTCGATACTCTGACAGTATAGCAACAACAATCAGTGACCTGCGTGTAGAATTGAGCTAAGTTGATCGATACTCTGCCAGTATAGCAACAACTTTTTTGACAGTTTGCGGTTTATGCCGCCAACCTACCACTCGAAAAAAGTTGTTCGGTACTCGTATCAATACAGCAACAACTATCGAGTAAGTATTCATTTTATGGAAAAATTCACTTCACTTCTCCATTTTAACATTCATATAAGGCAAAAAAGTGTGCAAAACTACGTAATTACAAAGTTTTATAAGGTAAATTGGCGCCGTTGCTTGGCGTCGGTAACTAACCTTTGGTTTTTTCCTCCAATTTTTGAAGTTTTCTCCTCAATCTCCTTAGTTCTTTGTCCACATCTTTGTGTTTTCCCATTTTATTCCTAAAATAACTGAAGAACACTAAGAAAAAACACTAATAATCACTTTAAATAATTATTTTAGCGGGAGCGGTGACGCCTCATAGTGACATAAGAAAAGAATGAAGTCCACAGATAATAGAACGGTGAACTGGAAATGGGAGCGTTCGGATATTTTTTATTTTTGAGGATTTAAACTTTATGTGACGCCCTCAGGTAACATGGAAATATACTACCTTAGTAACTTTCATCATCTTCGGACGAGACAATGGAATAATGAAATTATTAAACTCCACGTAAATAGATAAACTGGATGCAGACGTCAACGACGACCTATCTGAGTTTTCCTTCCTTTTCTTTTGAAGGATTAAATTAATAAGATGTATGTAGTTCCTAGCTATTAATGTTCATCATAAATTCGTTGATAAGGCATTTATTAAATTCAACTGTCCAACTTCTGTTATGCGTTTGTGACTTCCGAGTTTGATTTGGTATACCTTATTAAACAGAATGGCAATGCTTTAAAACTAAATTATATGACACCATCCAGTTGTATTATATTATACAACTGGGTTTTTTGGCTTGATAAAACATACAAAATAATGTTCTAACAATTATTTCTTTTCTCCCACAGGCCCCATACATAATGTACGTGGAAGTCTTAGAAACGGACGGTCACGAGCCCCTACCACCTCGTCTCCTACCACCAGCGCCTCCTGCACCGCACTCACCACCAATCAGACATACGAAGAGTGAAGAGAACCTGGTACCAGAGTGGCCAGCACTATCCTTATATTCTGGATTAGATGATGGAGACGCAGGCGACTGTTGGAGTCATGATGATGAGGAGCTCAGTACCCAGTACTCACATAGAGCGCCGGCGCCGGATAGCTTGTCACAGGTAAGATATTATTGATTAAGAATCATTTAAAGGTGTCTACTCAACTCCTGAACGACGGCATTAAATTGGATAATAATTTATTGCCATGTCTTTATTGTTTGTACTGGGATATCAAGAATAACACCCGTGTGAATCCCGGTAGAATCACTATTATCATAAATTGTTGCGATACGAATGAATTCCCCTTTTTTATCCCAACGTCAGAACGGATGACATCTATTTACAGTAGTGAATCACAGATTGATGGTGATTAGGCCATAAATGGATGACACATACGCCCAAATCACAGCTCACAAAAACTGACAAGTGATCTTTACCGCCAACGCTTGACTATCGTGCAAGTATTTTATAAACTTTATGTTAATTTTGACATACATGCCAAATGCGAACCGGAACGTTTACGGAAACAGTCGATATACAAACATGTCCGATTCACATGCACATAGTATACAGTTTTTGTTCTACGGTTTCATGTTTACATAGCTATTACAGCTAATTGAACGGTGGTTGCACGCAGACAAGCGATTGTGTCAACTCGATTGATAAAATTGAATCGATTAAAAAGTAGTGGGCATCGCGTTCAAGCCATTTGCGTATTGGTTGAGTCACGATGCAGTGTACAGCAATTTTAAAATATTTTATACTGGGCTTATTTGCTTATTTTTAAGCAAGACTTCCTCAGCTGTGCAAAGTCTTGATAAGTCCCAGACTTAATGACGCGTTTCTCAATATTAACATACCTAGAATCAATACAAAAATGCTGATTAAGCAACACAACTTTCTGATAATACTGCTTTTTATTGCTCAATATCGTTATCATTTGATAATGATACTTATGTACGTAATAATAACGTAATTAATACATTAAGGCTTCGTCCTTAAACTCGTGAAATTAATTGGTAATTTTATAGCTGCGGAGGTTATTTTCGTTGAGAGTTTATGATGCTAATTTCAGCTTCCTGTCAGGCGAATGATTGCCCTTGAATTCGACGTGATAATTATGAGTATGAAACTGAACGTTGTACTGTAAAACGTTCTTTATTTTTTGTGTACTTTATTGAAACTCAAATCTTATTGAAATAGTTTGTGCTTTATTGATGTATACTCGTGTAGTATCAGTATTTGAGACAGCATTCATAAATAACTTTGTCTGAGAAAATAGAAGACTTGTTTATTAGGTAATAATTAATAAGTGGTCATTAAATATCTAAAACTATACATATGACGCCATAATAAATGAATTCCGAGTCACTTCACTTCACAGCAACAAAATAACTACAAAAGTAAACTAAAATCACGGGTTACTCACGTGAATATACTGAGAAAAGCTCTACTAGTTTCGAACCACAGAGGGGCTCTTCCTCATGAGCAGCGTGCGCGGTCGTGGCGACGTCGCGCAGCCCATGATGCGGCGCGTGATTTTAGTTAATTTAGTATGTCTCACGATAGTTATTATAAAATAACTACACCTAATTGTTACTCCCGTCTCCCGTCTAGACTAAAATCTCGGAACAGAGTTCTTTGCCCTAATCCTAGTCCATCGATAACTCATAAGAACAGGTCAACCTACGCCTTTCTATCAAACTCTTTATTATGATTTACAACTATATCGTTTTGGTATAAAGACGAAAATCCAATGGAAAAAGATTAATAGATTAGAGTAGCTTGACCTGCTGGCTAGTACTTCTGTACCAGTGCCATTGCACCCAAACACGTGCGTGTTAGGGCACGTGTATTTACTCGTGTGTAGGGGATAGAGTTGAACGTTAATAGTATATGTATAAGAAAATGTAAACCTTATCGTGATCCTCATTATTCATTAAATTACTTTCAAGACATGGACAATATTAGAAGAGTTTTTCTCTCATTACGATTTTCTCTCGAGTTGTAAGACGATTAAAGTTCAATTTTAAACGTATTTCCACAAGTTTTTGATAAGTTTATCTAGTGGATAGTGGATATCTAAAGACTTTGAAACCTTATATTGTACTTTTATCAATCACTTATGTAAACAATCCGTCTCTGAGTAATTATATACAGTTCAAGATGACAGAAAAGTACGTGTTTTCTGACTGATATCAAGCTATTGTGTGTGTGGAATCATTCGACTGATTAGGTACAAAATTGTACATATTGTGTGACTGTCTAGTTGTTCAACTATAATTTGTGGAGCCATACTTTTTTAAATTACAGACCGACTGAACAAAGAACTAGCCAGTGTTTTTCCCCCGTAGCATATACCTACCTATTTATGTTTTTAGAAACACTGCTTAGTAGACTAGCTTAACTCGTCGAGTACCGTCATTATAGACACAATTATAGAACAATAGGTTGCGGTCACCGGTGACCGCTTGGTGTTTGACAGTTTAAGATCAATTATCATTATTTTTATTTATGACTGCCTCGTTGGTCGAGTGGTCGCAAGTGTGACTGCGGCGCCAAGGGGTCTCGGGTTCGATTCCCGGGTCGGGCCAAGTATTACTGGGTTTTAAAGAAAAATCTCA